TGGCCAATTACATGAGCAACAACTTATTGTGGGATAAAAGAAACTAGATTCTAGCGGAGGAAGAATCACTAGAGGTAGATAGAACACACATTGCAGAAAGCATCTAACTGTGTCAAAATACAAGTCCTCACTTGCAATCTTTAAGGCTGAAGGAGAGGAGGAAGACCAAAGAGTAAACCGAATAGAAATGGAGACAGACGTGAGGCGAATAAAAAACAATTGGACAGAACTAGAAAAGAAAACCCATAATGGAATAGGTCGGAGAATGTTGATCGGTCGCCTTGGCTCCACTAAGGGTAACAGATGTCAGTATGTAATATTATTTTTAGTTTCACAGAATTTCTCTATGTTTAACATTATCCAAAGTTATCAATTAATTTATGACCAGTAACATGTTGATTTACAGTTCATAAGTAATAGATGAAAAATATTCAATATAGTAAAAGGTTGAAGCTCTTCATAAGCTTCAACACTTTCAAGTGTGTATTGCAGAAGTTTTAAACTGTAATTCGAATCTGAACTCTCGAATTATTACCTAATGAACAGACTAAAAATGTATGATTTGACCTAACACCTTTTTTTTATTGACTAGATGCAATGATTTAGCCAGATTAAAAGCGAATTAAGGAGATTTGAACTTAATAGAAGTATTATTTAGAATTATTATTATTATTATTATTAGTAGTGTGGTGTGAGCTACTTATAAGTAGTATATGACGTGAGTGTCAACGTAATGTCTGGCAGCAGAAAATGGAGGAAGATCAAGAAAGGAATAGTTAGAAGAACACAATGGAATTTGTATGAAACGCATCATGAATAGTGACAATGGATTGATGTTTTGTAACAGGAACAGTCCAGTTCGATATGATGGATTGATATTTTGCAAATTAACGATTTACGATATGGTTTTCCAATTTTACTGAGTAACTCTGTAATTTTCGTTAAATACAATTCAGTTGGCCCACCTGTGTCCTCGTTCACTACAGTAGTAGTTTAGAGTAAAGGTAAATTATTTAAATTCCATCCAATCAAACAATGAAAGTCTTTTATTATGAGTTTATAAAATTGATTCACAATATGTTTCATCTTCAATAATCACAGTTAATATTTCTATAATATAATAAATAATGAAAATGTTCAGTTTAACATGCTATTGTGTTTAAAACGTGTCAAATGATCAGATGAATTTAATTTGGTAAGGCATTCGCCTACAATGCCAAAGGTCCCGGGTTCGAATCCTGCGAAGAGCAGGAGTCGTGGATGCGCACAGCTGACGAGTCCCATACCAGGACGAAACGGCCGTGTTTCAGTGCTTCCAGGTTTCTAATGATGGTTTAACAATGATTGATTGATGATTTCAAATGTGTAATTTAGATTCAAATAATAAATTTCAGTTTCTTTATAAGATTTAGGAATTGACAATACTTATCAGTGGCCTAATGGTTAATTGTATTGCGGCCGTTAGATTCCCAGAATTCACTTGATAAAGGTGCTAATATTGGATTTTATGTTTTTTGTGAGCATGGGCTCATCAGTTGACCTTGAGATTAAATTTCCCACCAGGAAATTCCTTGACTGTCATTGGTTGATGTATTATTATAGTACTCTAATTTTGTGGCTCTCCCATATATGAATAAACTCTATTTTTGTGCTTGATAGACATCATATTATCTGGATATTTATAGAATACACTTTCTAAGTCTTGTGAAGGCTTCTTCCTCTACTTAGTGAGGCATTGGGACTCTCGGATTATAGTAGCCTGTTGTGTCGCCGGATTATCGATCCTCGCTCTCGTTTACCGACTAAGGTAAACTCGTTATAGCATTCAAGCATATCAATTGACGAGCATAACAAATTTTATAATAGATATCTCAATCCATGAGTATAGATGTATAGTGAGATAGTCAATCAAACTATTCAACCCCATGATAAACTATTTTAAAAAGGGTATTTTATTTACTCTTAAATAGATCTATTTCTGTATTGGAAATCTCTTGATTTCAAAAAAAGAACAGAGATGATTACCCTTAATATAGACTCATAAGTCATACGAATCCACAGAATATATTTAACATTTCCATGAGCTGTATCTTGTCTTCGCATCATACTTAAACCTGAATCTCTAAATGTTTGGATACAATAGACTTGTTTCTTTTTAGATAAGTGATTACTGTTTAAGAAAGTGTACATGTATAAGCAATGGAGTAAATTGTTATGATGACGTTATGAACAAGATTTTATTAGGAAAAATAGATACCATGTGTTGGATGCATTAGACGTTCAAATTGCTCACCACGGAGTTATAAGAATGAATTAAGTATATTGATACAAGAATGATTTTTTTTAAGACAGAGTTTTGGAGGTTTCTGGCGTTTTCACACGTTTGAAATCATCAATCAATCATTGTTAGACTGCCACCATTAGAAACCTGGAAGCACTGAAAGACGGCTGTTTCTTCCTGGTATGGGACTACTCATCAGCAGTACGCATCCACGACTCCTGAAACTCTCAGGGTTCATACAAGGGACCTTCGGTATTGAGCGCGAACGCCTAACCATCGGACCACTGGGCCGGAATCCAATGGTGATAATGTCTAACTCTGATTGATCTAGGGATTTTGTGCGATGATTTCAAATGTGTAAAAACACAAATCTACAAAACTCTGTCCCAAAATATCGTAACAGTGCTTACTAGTGTCTAGCTTCTTCGTGAGGAAATTCTCGGAGTT